AAGAGACCTGCAAGAAAGTGACAGGGAATAAAAGGGAACCAGTGGGTGGGACAGTTAGCCATAAGACGCCTAAAGATCTTCCAAAGCATTTACAGAAAGGCCAGATTGCTTGAAATGAATGTGTACAAAGGGAAGAGAAAAATGAGATTGATTTTAAGATGCAAGTTACTGCAGATACAGAGAATTCTGACCGAACAATGACCATGGGAGAACAACAGATATGAATCAATGTGGAAATGCATATTTTAGATCCTAGATCGTAATTTGCCCTTTTCTCTTTATAAACACGATGTCCCCATGTCTGTTACTGCTGGACATCAACAAGCAATTTGATTAAGCCCTTTAAGCACATCATATTGTTCTTTATTGTTCCTTGTACAGAAGCTCACAGAACCAGTCAGATGGTGAATTTGGAAAGTACAGAGGAGCAGTGCTGCAGGGAAAATGCTATAAGGAAGACACACAAGTTTGCTTTGAACAATGATGTTTCCAATAATTTTCCTCTGTGCCTCACAATTTGTTTCACTTTCTCTAGGTCTATGTGGTCTTGCAACTCTCCTTAATTATTTCAGCTGTCTAGCACTTCAGATTAGGTTGCCTTCTACAGGTTTTACACTATGCCATCGTCACTTAGGCTGAGATTTTAAGGGCATTAAGCATCCAATTCCCAGTGAATTTCAGTGGTGGTTGGGCAAATAATTCTCTTAACCTCCTTTGAAATATCTCACCTTGGAGTTCTCTAAGCTTTAAAGGAGGATAATGGGAGGCAGGGCTCCAGGGTCCTATGACTTGCTTTACCTCTGACCTACCCTCCATCCTTAGAGGTTTGTAAGGCCTGGCTTGACAAAGCCCTGGCTGGGATGATTCAGTTGGTGTTGGTCCTGCTTTGAGCAGGGGATTGGACTAGATGACCTCCTGAGGTCTCTTCCAACCCTAATCTTCTATGATTCTACCCAGGATATCAGAGCAACTCAAATTCCATCTTTCAAGGAATACGACTTATCTACCTGTTGGGAAAAGTTACAAAAGGTTAATAAAATGCTTTAAGATCCTAGAGCTTGTCTACATGGCAAGTTACTATGCGGCATGCCAGGGTGTGACTCTACAGCGCTCTAGCTTGCCATGGGGCCAGCTAACTCGCTGCGCGGACCCTCATCCAGCAAACGGAAAGATCCCTAGGGCGCTCGGACACCCTCACCATGTAGACCAGCCTTTTGTATATGAAAGCCCACAACGCAGATTTCAAGCTAGCATGCATGTTAGGTGATATGTCAGTGCTACACTCATATGCAGGGGCATTGCTTTCTCCTGGTTAACCGTTTAAAGAGCCAGCTGGAACAGGCTGATTGAACCAGCTCAAACCGATCAGCTGGATGGGAATGAAACCAAACATGGAAAAGCATGTGCAGGGAAATGGCAGCGCTATCTGAGATTTGACAAGATGGTTCTCGCTGGAGCCCCATCAGTGCTGGGGAGACAGTCCAGTCAGGAAGCCTGTGGTGCTCAGGAGAGGGTTCTCGCTCTCATTTGGGCATCCTTCCTGAGTACCTAGAGTGGGACAGGCTGGGCTGAAGTGTGCCCAGCAGATTAATTAAATCTTGGATTCAGGACATGTTGACTGCTCACAGCAGCAGGCAGACGATGTGCTATGTGGCTGAAAACACAAAAAACTGTTGCCATATAGAGGTGTTTTACAGACTGCTGTTCTGGAAACGTTCCACATTTAACTTTTCAAAATGGTTCCCGAAGGGGAGACAAGCAGAAGGGGTGAGGAAGGGGGAATTACCCTAATTTGATGCTATACCTGCCCAGTTCTGAGGGATTTCAGATAGCCAAATAAAGATATGCTTTGGCCCAGCCCCACTCTCACTGCTTGGTATTAGAGCAATCACGCTGTAGCAGGCTTCATTTCATAACCCTGGCATCTCATAATTAAAAGAAGAGCCTCTCTGGAGCCTAAATGTTTTTGGTTCTGGAACACCGATAAAGTCTTGCTTCACCTAGTGACCAACAATGACCAAGAGAGGGGCCTGGCCCTGGAGACTAACAAACAAAGCCACAGAGATTCCAGTTTGACGGAGGAGACAGAATCCCATTGTTAAATTGCTTTTCTCAGACTACACAGAACTGGGAGAGTGAATGAGAAGAGTAGATAAATGGATCAAATCCTAAAGTCTTAGGAAAACTCCCAGTGGCTTCCGTGGGTGATTTGATTGAGTACAGACAGACTGGGGGCCTCCCAAAGACCAGTAGCAAAAATAAGACAGTCAAGTTAAACCAACTCCTCAAATATCTGCCTTGCCTGGCCTGGCCTGGGAGGAGTGTGTACAGTCGTTCCCACCTGCTGGGGTGATACTGCTGCTGTCCCAGCATTCTGCAAATCGATGCCTGGACTGGTGTCAAGGCTGAATAATGACTGCACCTGTTTCCCTCTGTAATCTCCAAGGATGCTTGGGCAAAGCATTCCACCCACACCAACCGGCCTGTGCCTATCCAACAGCTTGTGTGTCATCTGGATCCAGGATGAATTTAGTTTCAATGATTCACATTTACATCAGAGATGGGAGGGGACAAAAACCCCTTAGGTTCATGCTACTACATAACTGCCAGTGCAGGATTGTTCCTTACAGTCTGTTCTCTGTTCCTTTCTTCCATCTCTCACTCTCTCCACCCACCCACACTTCTGAGGCAATGGGAAGCTCCTCTGGTGATCAGGTTCTTACAAATACCAATGACCCATTTTTTCTCCTGCTGATAATAGCTCATCTTAATGAATTAGCCTCTTGCAGTTTGTATGGCAAATTCCACCTTCTCTGTATGTGTGTGTGTGTATATATCTTCTTACTATATGTTTCATTTTATGCATCTGATGAAGTGAGCTGTAGCCCACGAAAGCTTATGCTCTAATAAATTTGTTAGTCTCTAAGATGCCATAAGTACTCCTGGTTTTTTTTGCGGATACAGACTAACACGGCTGCTTCTCTGAAACCTAATTACCCATTGGAAATCTTTCATTTTTTGGCCATATTAGGCCTCTGAGTTTATTCCTAGCTACTTTTTGCCATTATTCGGTGACTTGTTCCTTCAGAACTCCAGGAGCCGGCTCCAGCCTTAGAAGGTCTAAGAATTCTCTGCAGTACGTGTATAATTCCCATTAATCACACCTTCAAAATAAGAAAGCCAAAAGCAATAGCACACTTTGAATAGCCCCTACCATCCTAATATGATCAAGAGCCTTAAACTATTTCTCCCCCATGAAAAGAACAACCAGCTGCTTGGTGACTTGCATCTACTGTACTATTGTAAAGCCAGACAATATCATACAATATGGTTTGCTTGGGCCGCTATGCTGTTTTAAATAAGAAACATTTCCTTCCCACAGTACAAAAAACCTGTAATACCAGATCACTTGACATGAACTTGTTTTAACTTTCACCGTGTTTCACTGTTAAGAAGAGAGCAATGGAGGGGAGAAACCAGTGCACTTAACATCCATTAGAATGGAGCCCAGATATCACAGTGATGGGCACATATTATGGCAGGATAAAGCAGTGAATGAAAGAGCAAGCTTATTTAAAAAGTAGCATTTCAATATCCTTCCACAGAAGAAAGAATTAAATATATATATATATATATATATAAAATTATACAAAGATATTTAGGTCTTCTACACAAATGGATAATCAAATGACATTTTCTTAAAAAAAAAACGTTTGTTAGCTGTCAGCTCCCAACACAGATTACTAATGGGGGATGTCCCATGTTAAAACCCAAGGGAGTATTTCTAAAAAAGTTTCAGATGAGTAAAATGATATCCTAAAAAACACCGGATAATAAAGGGACTGTCGCACAAACCAATTCACTCAACAGGATGATGCCTGCCTGTAAAAAAAAAAAAAACACTTTCAGATTAACTCAGAGCTGACTTTTTTTTTTTTTGGGGGGGGGGGGGGACCACAGAGAAAGACTAGACCAAAAGCACCTGCTGAGGATTATAACGTTGCAGTTTCAGACATGCAAATATGGCAGCACCCTACAGTGGAATTTCACTACTGATCATTTAAAATAATTTTTTCTTAAGTGAAAAAGAAGAACTGCTACAGTGACATGGTGCTTTCCTCTCTCAGGCCGACAGCACCGCCAAGATCAAACTTTTTGCTGCAGTGGAGGAAAATGGTGACCCAGTGCACACTTCCTACCTAACGTGTGATCTGTGAACATTTTAGGGTTCTTTTTCCTGTGTAAAACCTCTACTTCTGTAACAGCTTTTTCCTCTGTTCTCTTTTTTACACCCTGGGCTGGTTGGTGATTACAGATTCTCGAAGGGTTGATTTTAAATGTGTACATTAATATAAGCAATTCTATGTCCTGTCAGTGTTACTAGCCGATAATAGTTTTGAAGGCAGGATAAAATTGTAAACACACTCAAACATTCTCTTTTTAAACATACACCAGGGATTAACTTTGTCCATTTAAGTAATTCCAATGAGGTCAACAGAATTAGACCTGAGATGAATTTAGCCCATTCACTGTAGAAAACCTGCTGTCACCATAACATGCCTCTCAGAATCAAAATGATCTGCAATGTTGTGGGTTACATGTAACAGCACAGGCATTCTCAGCCTGAGGGCTCTGATGCCTTGGGGGGCAAAGAGTTTCAAGCCAGATCTTGGATGACTGGGAAGGGGATCTTTTGGAGGGTGCAGGGTGGGGGTGCATATCCTGCCATGGAAAAGGGAGTGGCAGAATAGATGAAGGTGAGAACCACTGCAACAGAGCAAAGACCTCCCATCTACTTTACCAGAGAGTGAGAGATGTAAGTAAATGCCCCCCTCATTCTGAGAGCAGACTGTGACCCTGACTATGATCTCACTCTCAACCTGGCACCTGCAGACACACATGCATGCACACAGAGACCTTTTTTTTTTTTTGCACCTTGCTCAGGAGAATGCTCCACCCTACATCCAACATGGCCCCTTAGAGAGTTTTAAAGCTGTTACCTTGGCAGGGGCTTTGCTCTGTGCACTCCTGAAGAAGGTGGTCTTGGCTGTGAAAAAACAATCCTCGAGCTCTTCATCCAGACTACAGTACCCGCTGCTCATGCTGCGCTCCAAAGGTCATCTACCAACAGTGGATTTGAGACCCTCAGAACATTTGGGGCTCACCAAGGAGCTGGAGGAGCAGGTAACCATCTGATTCCTGTTCACTGCAGCAGCAGTGGCATTTCCCAATCCAGTTCCTGTACATTCAGCAGCAGACACGATTTCACATCCTCGGCTTCACTTGTCCTTATCTGCAATAGCTCCTTCTGCTTGTTATCCAGCATTTAACTCAGTGATTTCTCTGTTAAAACAGCCCTGCTGGGTTACCCTTCCCTTTCCTCACCCAACCAACTCCCTTAGCAAGGGCTGTTGGAGAATACTGAGGGATCAGACCTGAGTGAGTTTCTTCTCTTCACTCTCAGACTCACTCACCATCTGTGGTTTAATCTCCTGCCTGCAAGCCTAGTGGAGCTGGCTGTAAGAACACATCACCTCCCTCCCCCCACCCCCCTTTCCTGCCTGCTTTCAGTTCACACACAGAGGAGCCCAGCCACTTCCTCTTGCAAGCTTTCGCACCCAGTTTTTGCACTGGGCTCAATTTCTCAGTGTCTCCAGGGTAGAACCTCAGTGGGTGTAAATCCACGTCGTCTGTGGAGCGGTGCTGATTTATACCGCTAGCTGAGGATCTGGGCTTCTCTCTCAGGTGTCCTGCAATACCTTTCATAAAGGTGGGGATTGTGATCAGAGTAATCCTGCAGCCATTTAAAAGTATATAGCTATAGAAAGCCAGCTTACGGCGCTCTGCCAGGTAGATATCCTTGTGTGGCTTAACTCATTTACAGCTGTCCTGGAATTAAAGCTGTAAGAACAAGCTGAGCTGAGTTTTAGCTTTGCTCAGCTGCTATTTAAATATTTTGCACCAAGGGAATCCAAAGAGAGGGGATACCAGAAGCTCAGTACATCATGAAGCACATTGAGACCCCAGCCCTTAGTTTATGTGCTACCCCAGATTGAGTAACAGACACCACGGTGGTGGGTGCATGACAGACAGATTGCCTACTGACATTTTAATGCACGGCTCAGTATGTGCCTCTGCGTTCTGCAGATAATTTTAGAACAGCTAGGATGACTTCAGCTGACCAAAAAAAAAAAAATGAGGCCGTTTTTATTATAACCTTAGAAAGCACCACTCAGCTTGCCAGGTTAGACCTTTCAGTGTGTCAGTTACTGTCACGTTACAGGCAATAGATTCCCAAATCTGTTAAAATGGTTCTTTAGCGTTGATAAAGCCTTGTAGCAACCGCATCACTCCCCCTCTGCCCACCTTTCAATCCCCCTACCTTTGTGCAATTCACAGAACCACAGAAATTAGAAATGGAATAAACCTATGAAACCGACTCTATCCCCCCCCTCCTTCCTTCATCTGTCCATTGCAGGGTTGCTGGTGTCAGGGTCATGTCTCGTACTTTGAATTCTAGTTTTAAAACATCTCCCCACCTTTCTCAGAGGTGAAGAATCTGAATATTTAGAGGGAGACTTGCACAGGTAAGTTTTATATCCATAAACTTCCACCAGACTAAGGCTTGATGCCTTGAGGGGCTGATCGTTTGAGTCAATGGGAGTTGAGCGTGCTCAGCATTTCGTCGTATTGGGCCCTTAAGTATTCTGCAACATTGGGCTGCAGGTTACATTTTGACCCATCTGGAAAATAGAGAAGCCTGAACGACAAGCTTTGCAGGGCTAGTGAAAAACCCAAAGTCAGTTTGAGATTAAGAAGCTTCTTAACAGTAAAATACTAGCGGTCAACGTAGGACTCCGGTTTTTAGAAGAGGAAACTTTCCCCATGTTTTACTATTTTTCAGAGCTTAATTTATATTTATTAAACAGGAGAGGGGTGGGTGGGAGGATAGAGAAGACGAGTAGGGAAAAATCTCTTCCTTTTTTTGTATCTGCTCTCTAGCTATAACTATTTAAATTCTTCCCAGTCTGGGAATTTATTTTTCTTCTCTTCTTCTGTATAACTTCTGTGGTTTGCACTATTTCATCCTCAACAGGGGCTCAATCCAACTTCCACTGAAGTTTATTGCAGTTGGATTAGACCCTAACTAATGTAGGTGAGCTGTACGTGCATCTGACACCAATGTGCTCATTTTAAAGTCAGGTAATTATTTATTTCTCTCTCTCTCTCTCTCACACACACACACGGAATATCCAGCCATCTCCTTTTCAGGATTTAATTCTGACTGCCACAGTGTTACTGGAATTTAGCAACAAAAAAGGGGCGCTGGAAGTTGAGACTCCTAGTTTTTAATTCCAACTTCCCTGCTGGTTTGCTGTGTGACCGTGAGCAAGCCATTTCATCTCTCAGCACCAGGAAAATGGCGTAATACTGTCTGCTTCACTGAGCTAGAAGGCTTCACTGTGAATTAACAGGCTTTGAGATCCTCAGATGAGCATAAGTGCAGCAATTATTCTAACATTAAAATACATTCAGTTACAGCAAAGTGCAAAGAATTCACTGTGTATTAAACTTCCTCCCCCTGTGATAATTTACAGAAGGTGTTTTATGAGCTTACATTATTTATATGGCACCTGTTGCCATGGCACCTGAGCGAGTCACATTCAATTTCAAATCAACAAATATGAGTCACTCTCCAAGTGGGCAACTTAGTGAGACTACTGAGAACCAAAACGCCAAGGGTAAGCAGGTTAGCTCTGCAATATGCCCAAAGACCACTGGACACTGGCAGGGACCACCAGCAGGAGCAAGTTCTACACGTTTGGATGATTGGTTGAGAATGCCCAACACCTGGCCCAGGACAGTTTGATTCTAGCAACTGACAGCAAGAGCCTCCCACTGTGACGGGATGGAGCAGGCTCTATGTCTAAATGCACAAGCTGGGAATGCTTTCCAGATGACAGCTCTCCATGTTCATATGAACGGTAGCTCTGCGTATGGAATTCTCTGAGCTGCCAAGCGCAGATGAAACATGCGTTATGGGCACGGAGGTGTTGTGCGGTTCTGACACAAAGCAACATTATAAATCGTTTGGGGGCAGCAAAGACAACACATCAGATATGCAGCTCCACTCCTCTCTGCTCATGCAGAGTGCATGTCTACTGGGGAGAATTCTGCTCAGCCAGCTTCTCAGAGAAAATTCCCTCCTCGAGGCATTTTCTTTAAGAGGCCAGGAATCGAAACACTTGGCATTCCAAGGTTTATTTCTCCACTGGAGGAGCCGATTCTAAATTGTAGGGTAGAGCACATAAATGAAGCAATGCGCTTTAGAACATCATCAAATTAAGAGCTACATGCTACCCTCTGAGGGATGAAATGGATCCCTGTGCAGAGACAGCCATCACCACAAGGCCTGGGCACCACTTAAGCCCTATTCTGAGGTCAGAAGAGGGGCTTAAATGGTGCATACATCTTGTTGTGGCCCCAACACAAGGGTGAATTACTCCCTCGGTGTGGGAAATGATTCCTGAGGCCACTACAAATCATGTGAAGATAGGGCCAAAGTTCGGGCTTCCGAGGGGAGAATAAAAACCAGAACTAGTTAACTATTCAAGTATTTATAATGCAACTTGTAACAATATAGCAGCTGTTTTCACACCACGTGGAACACTTCTGATTGGGGATAGCTGAGTGAGCTACATTGACTTTATAGGGGTAGGTTTAAAAACAGGCTCTTAAATTGTATATACAAAGATATGCACAGAAAGGATGAGGTGCATACATGAGCCTAAATACATGCCATTGCATGCACAAAACGAGCAGCCACTCTGCTAGCAGTGCTTGGGTCCGCACTTTTTTTGAAAATTCAGCCATATACATTTGGTGGCAAGGATGCCATGCAAGCCTAGAGCAGCAGGAGCTGCTCAACCATTTCAGCTACAAAGACACGAACACTGGACCAGATCCTCAGCTGGGGTAAATGGCTGTAACTCCACTGAAGTCAAGAACTATGCAAATGAACACCAGCCGACGTGGCTCACGGTTTTCTTTCCAGATGTCCGTCGCCAAAGTTTTGGAGATCAATCCCTCTCTGTAAACTATGTCCTCCCAAATTCTTTCATGGCCGAGCTGAAGTGTCTGCATCACAAAATAGCCCATTGCCCCCCCCCCCCCCCCCGATTGGCATAACTATAAGCATCTGCTCAGGAAATCCTTCCATACTTGAACTGCCATAGAGGGGGGAAAAGCAACTCCCAGCTATGGAGAGATCCAAAACCCAAGTCAAGGCTAATGAGATGGTGGTGAAGATATGGTGATTACTGTCTTTGCCGGACGAAATCCGCATTGTCCACCAATAGTGAGCACTGAAAGACAGGTGAATAAGAGAAGGGAAGCCAACTGCGCATGCATTTAATATTAAATATCTGGATTACAGAAGCACCCAGAGGCTATTCAGGATCAGGACTGCCTTTTATTGGGAACTCTGGGTAAGGGACACATCTTTCTATATTTTACTAAGAACTTACAATCTAAAACCTCAATTTTGCAAACGCTTACACACATACATGAGTAGTTCCATTGGAAAAAATCAATGGAGTTTTCCCATTAACTTCAATGGGGCTTTCACCCAGGAATCGACTCATGGGCATAAAAGTTAACACATGCTTAAGTACTTCATTGGCTCAGGGCCCAAAATATGAAGCATTGTTAACATGCAATATTAAGTATTAACTATGTGTTAAGTAAGTGGCTATCCCTTTGATTTCACTAGCTCAGTTACATTTAAACACCACACTTATTGCTTGCCAACTCTGAATCAGTTTTAAGATTCCTGAGTTTGCAACATGGGCTGCCAAAGGATTTTTTCACCCCACACATTAAATAGCTCACGAACAAATTCCATATCTCTCCCTGGTGCTCTGATATGGTTTCTTCATCATCCTTCCTCCTTCATGATCTTCCACTTCCTTCCAGAAGCCAACACTACATGACCAACAGAAACACATGACTGGAATCTGGTTCAGCTCTACAGGTCAAGATTAAGCAGCAAATATGAGCTTGCAATTCAGATACAGCTCTTATCCTTTCCCATCTTTTGTTGACAGTGGATTATTTTTTAAACTTTGCTTTTCCCCATTAATTAGGTAACACACTGGAGATTCACAGATACAGATGCATTCCTGAAAATGCAAGTAAGATCTATGTTTATTGCTAAGGTTTCCTCCTCCCCCAAAGCATCTGAATCAAATAACTAATCCATTTTACTATTGTTTTGTTTCTGACACGACTTGGGGCATGGAGAGAACATGAGCTAACATTCCGGCCAACAAGTCCTGATGGAATATGGTATGAACAACGGATTTGCTATCTCCAGCAGGTGATTGATATCAAAGAACATCTCCCTCCTTCTTGCTAGATTCTCCTCTCTTGGGGAGTCTATGGCTTCAGGTGCAGAATGAATTAGATATTTTCATGGGAACAGTTAAGAAAAAGAAAGGCACAGTTTGCTGGAGCAAA